CCCATCAACCACCGTCCAAACGAGGGAAAAGGCGAAAAAGAAAACTCATTTGTCTCACGTCCATGTATTACTCTCGGCTCTTGGGAAGAACCCCTGCAAGTCTTCATAAACCTCCCTTCCGACTCCCTTAAAATGTTCATCAGGTCTGGGACAGGCAAGCTCTAGAGTTGGGTTTAACTGACTTGCTGACTGTTTTCAAAGCAAAACATATGGGCAAGGTCATTTTAATGGAAAAACTAGAGTCACCTGCTAGGCTGCTAGGCACTGACATAGACTTGCTTGCAGCATGGCTGTTGGGACTTCCTACCAATCAATCAAGGTCACAGACTACTGGAAAGAACGAAAAAGCTGATTTCCATTTGCCGGCATTTTAGGTCACCAGGCGTTTCTAAATATTAAATCTGCAATCAGTAATAATTACTAAACTGTCATCTTTTTATTTCACAACATGTTTTGTCTCATGATTTGTAGAAAAATCTACTTATGTTTAGGTCGGTTTGCTTCCACCAGAGTATGAAACATACCACACCACAAGTGGAATGCATTGACCTTCTTCTGTTCTATAGAACAATATTTCTTCCCTCCATGAATTCCTGCTTATTTACACTATACCCACAGGTAAAGTCTAAGTATGCTTCAGAGAAGAATTAGAAAGGAATGTTCAAACTTGAACAGGATTGACAAATAGCTGGTGCAAACAGTCCTCCAGGACACAACTAATCATCTGTGGGCATGATTCGACAGACGTGACTAATTCTACTGCACATAGCAGGATATTTGCTTGAATTAGACAAGTGTGCCTTCAGAAAACAGTTAACTTTAAAGATTATTTAAAAAACATTACATTATCAGGGTTACACAGTAATTTCTTCTGCCTGGAGAAGATTCCTTACATTCCTAAGCCAAGTATCTTTAAGGTACTTCTTGTTTTCAGATGTCAAGTGTAACATAAATATATGACCGTAGCTGGACATAAATTTTACTCTGCATGTTCTTCACCTTATTTTTTTAAGAGTCAACTATGTGTATGAAAACAGACTGTGCCTAAATTAAAAAACTATCAGATATCTAATAGCTAAGGCTGGTACTACGCCCTTTCCTTCTAACAGGCTCCTTGAAAAAGAGAACTGCCTTTTCATTTTCAAGATGAATGACAGAGCCCCTTGAAGCTGCAGCTCACTCCGGGCCCTGCCGTGACTACTGCAGTTTTTGGTGTCTCTCAGACAAAAACATAGGGTATTGCTGTTTTACAGGCAGGTATACTTGTGTGCTGTACTGTCAGGCAGCAATGAAAACTACATTAACCTTGATTAAGTCACATGATTGCGTAACTCTGTCCTTGAAGTCGCGTACATGAGGAAGTTTTTTAAAACCATCAATTAAAAAAACCCCAAAAAACAGAATTACAACTTTATTTTTTTAAGATTGTTTTTTTCTGATCTGTAACACACTCCTAAGGGAATGAAAACTTGTAACTATTTACCTGAAAAAAAATCCCAGCTGAATCTTGGAGTAACTACTTAGTATAAGCTGAGGCATACAGGGACCTACAACTATTTGGTTATCTCGCCTAAAATTTTCCATTTAAAGTTTCTGGAAAATGCATAGAGTAATTCAAATGTTTACAGAGATTTTTTTTCAGCTTTGCTCTTCATGCCTCAAGCACCACTTGTGGGAAGATACGCCAGAGAAGAAGGCTCCCACATTGCAGCAGCGCCACTTACTTATTTTTATACAGATAAAGAAACCTCCTTATTAGTACTTCAGTAGTTTATAAAGATGCTCTTTCAACAGAACACTTGTTTATTGAGTACAGTATCATTAAACAGCTTTCAATATATTTGATATTAATGCAGAGAAATTGGGTTCTGAGCCAGGAATAGAAGTTTTGCATGTGCAAGGACTGCACAACAGGATCCAATTTGGCAAAGAGTCTTCAGTAACATAATACTTCCCTAACATTACCCTAAGTACGAGACTATGGTACCATTTCACATTCAAATTACAGCATTCGTTTGCACACAAGCAGGGTACTATACAATTCTTAATTTTTTTTTTTTTTTTTTTTTTTACTGGTTGGTACCAGTGGAAAAGTCCTCTTTGCCCCTGAAAGCTGTCATTTCAGCTTGTAGCTCAAGGTATCTCTAACTAATCTGAAAAAGCAAAAGCACCGATATATCTGAGAGTAAGGTATTTTTCCCTTCAAAACTTTGAAATCTATCTGTTGTATGTTTCAGCTGAGCTGGAAAGCCAAGTTTTAATTTCTTGGTCAAAAAATTACAACTGAAATTAGAACTAAGTCCCTCGGACAGAATCTGTGACAGTTTGTGAGACTTATTCTACAGCTTTGACCGTTACATTCCTCCTACCTTTAGCCCTACCTTTCTCGACAATTTTCCTCTGTCACATTCCTAGTGGCCGTATGGCATTAAATAAGTCGAACATAAGCCTTCCCCCTCCTCTTAAACATTCTCCTAGAGTATGCTTGTATCTCAGACAGCGCAGTAAAGATTACATACCTTGCACAGTGAAGATCATTAACCTTGCCGTCAAGAGGAAACGCACAGCATGAAATTTAGTCAGTGGGAAATAAGAGACTGCTGCTGTACATCTGCTACAGAAGACGGCAGGCATGTCACCGAGCAAGCATGTTATAACCTCAGGGCTAAGCGATCCTATAGCATAACCGCAGGCAACAGTCCCTAGCAGGCAGAGCTTCCTGGCACGTATACGCCCGCCGTGTTTCTCTCCAGGGTGGAGGTCCATTCACCGAACTTCAGCAGGCGCGCAGCGATCACTTTTGCCTTCTGAACCACCGGGAAGTGCCAAGTACTTACCACCGCTGCGCCCTCAGAGAAACCGCCTCGCACCCCCAGCTATGCCAGCAACGCTCACTGACCCACAGAAGGAAACGTTACCTGGATTTCCCTTGCATGGTACACGATGATGAGCCCGAGCAGGATAATCGTGGAGAGGCTAATAAGGCATTTCAGAGCGAGGGAATACAGCGACTCCTGCAAGAGAAAGACACCGCCGTCCCTCAGAGA